CTAAAGGATATAATTGGATAAATCTGGAAAACGGACAAGTTGTCTGATTTTCCGTGTGTCGTCGGAGATAAACAATTACTACCCATCTTCTTCCATCTGCTGTTCTCATCATAGAGCCAAGGGTGTTCATATTTTATGCTTTTTCCATGGCTATTTAATCTCTCATTGGAAGGCATCTTGCATAGACTTCGGTGTGCTGCATTTCCTTTTCATTTCTTATACTTTATAGCTATGCCTTAATTCAATTTTTTGTTCAATTTACAACTGGTGGACACTTCACACCGGTGTCGTCTGAATTGCTGATGGAGTACAGTATTTGTATTTTTAGTTGGATGTTCATTTGATACAAGGTGTTTTACCAAATTCGTTTTTCTTCTCTGTACTATTATTCCATATTTTACTAAGTTTAATTCTGTTTTCTGCTATTTTCTTGGCTTTAAAATCAGTAAACATGATACAGCAATATTGGCTGCTCCAGATGGCACAGTTTATTTAGTGGAGATTGGTTCAGGAAAAATCCTGTGGTCGTTCTCTTCTGGACCATCAATTTATTCCTCATATCAGCAGCTCCCTAAATATGAAGGTGAAAAGCTCAACGCCTCTGCTGAAAGCGATAATTTCTACATAGATTGTGGAGAAGACTGGGAGCTCTACTTGCATGGAACTGGCCTGAAAAGAGTGGTATATTATTTAATCCGAGTTTTCAGTTTAGATTGGAAAATTGGATATAATTTCTGTCATGATAGAAAATAGGACGTAAATAACTACTATTATCGGACTTATTGAACTTTCGGTTTCGGTTTGAGCCTAGTGGGTCTGAATATAATTTTCCCGATTTTGGTTTGAATTCATACTAATCACCAGAAAGTGACTTTCTCAATTGCAGAAACTCCCAGTAACCGCCGACGAATTTGTAAAACGCACTCCATACGTATCGGCTGGTGGAGGGATTGTGCTAGGATCAAAGAAAACTGCTGTATTTCTTGTCGATGCTAAAACTGGAAAAGTTATTCGTACTTTTAGATCTGATAACCTTGATGAGACCTCTACGCTAACCAGGGGTGACATAGAAGAATGGGTACCCCCTACAATGAACCCAGAGGCTGTCGACAGGCCACTCTATGTCACGAGAACTGACTACGCCCTCAAGTATACCTCTGCCAAGACCGGAAAAGTTTTATGGTATCTAATGTTTGCTGATATTGAAGCTTCTTTCCAGTGTGAAGGAATCGAAAATTTTCTGGGCGGATTCACGCGCGATAAGAAGTTTAGACAGGGTCAAGGGTTCGATATGAAGCTGCCTTTGCATTGTGAGACGAGGCCAGTGGTGTACCGTGTACGTGATCGTAGTTCCTTAGAACCTCTTTTTGAAGCTAATGGGCTAAACGGTGCTCTTCCTGGAGTCGAAAAACTTCCTTTGCCCCACCCTAGCAATATTGCTTTTGAGCCAATGAAAGAAATGTTATCTCCTCTTCACAGTAAGGATATGGATAGGCTTGCCCTCCCTACTCCTGACTATGATGAACCTGTAGTTAAGAGTCTTCCCGGCAGTGTTACTCAAGAAAATAGCCATGTGGAATTGGATACCCGAGCACAGTCTCATTTTTGGCCATCAATGCTGTATTTTGGTTTCTTACCAATAGCAGTAGCTTTCTTTTCCTGTGTTAGATATGTTCTTATTCGAAAACAGGGTAATAAGTTAAAAGGAAGGTCTGAAGATGTCAAATCGATTAATGTCACGCCGAAAAAGAAGAAAAACCGGAAATCTTCAGGCAGTAGACATAATATTGTTGTTGAGAAAAGGCATGTAGATTATCTTCCATCGGTCATCACTAGGGATGCTGTTGAAAATGGCACTTCTCCGGATGTGCGTAGGATTGGTAAATTGATTCTCACTAATAAAGAAATCGCAAAGGGAAGCAATGGGACAGTTGTGTTTGAAGGAACTTACGACGGCCGTTCGGTTGCCATCAAGCGTCTTGTCCGGACCCACCACAATGTGGCTGTGAAAGAGATAGAGAATCTAATAGCATCTGATCATCATCCAAATATTGTACGGTGGCATGGGGTCGAGTATGATCAGGATTTTGTCTATATATGTCTTGAGAGGTGCACGTGTAGTATGCATGAGTTGATCTTGTTCTGCACTTATGAGAATCGAGCAAATGACTCGGGTCAAGCTGATGAGTCTCTGTCTCTTGTTGGCTGTAATGTGCAACTTCTGAGGACTTTTGGAAGCGGGAAGGAGCTCGAGTTATGGAAGGTTAATGGATATCCATCTGCGAGGTTATTGAAATTAATGAGGTATGCTCTAAAGCTAAACGTCTCTTGAAAAGCAAATCTTTACTGATTTTTGCTTTCCCTGCCTATTAAATGTGTAATTGCTGAAGTACACAGTGTGATCCCCAAAAGCATTCCTGCTGCTGGGTTGTCATGTTTGTTGTGTTCTGATAAAATATTATTTGGTGCTTTGAGAAGATTATGACATACAGTTATTACAGCATGTAATTTGTAAACATGTTTTTGCTAGGAGTTGGGTTGGATGAGGTTAATTAGTAGTAGTCCGTAGTCCAATTATAATTGAATGGTTCTCTGACTCTCACATTGGCAATGTCATTGTTCTTTAATTTGTTAAAGAATGCTATCAACTTGCGTGTTCCATGATGAAGTGTTTTCCAGAAAGTTATGAGCATTCGTGTAAAACAAATACAGCTATTCTAAACATGCATTTATTCATGGCCTTTTTTATTCAGCAACTTGTCTATCAAGTCAATAACTGTGTTTACCTCAAATGCTCACATAATTAGAATATTTTATCATGTTACTTGCTTGCAGGGACGTTGTTTGTGGACTTGCTCATTTACATGAACTCGGAATTGTACACCGAGACTTAAAACCTCAAAATGTTCTTATAATCAAAGATCGATCAATATCCGCAAAAATATCAGACATGGGTATTAGCAAGCTCTTAGATGGAGAAATGTCATCTTTAACCAAGCATGCCACCGGTGAGAATATATCAGTAATTTGACTCCCCCATTCAAGTAATGTGGCCGTTTCTTTTTTTTTTTTTTATTTAATTTGACAACCATAATTATTGTGCAATTAGGATATGGTAGTTCCGGGTGGCAAGCTCCAGAACAACTGCGTCGTGAACGGCAGACTCGTGCTGTGGATTTATTCAGCTTAGGCTGCATTCTCTTCTTCTGCATAACCGGAGGCAAGCATCCTTTTGGTGAAAGTCTTGAACGTGATGTAAACATAGTCAATGACTGTAAAGACCTCTTCTTGATCGACCACATACCAGAAGCTACTGATCTCATCTCTCGACTGCTAGACCCTGACCCTTACTTGAGGTAATAATGCCTTGAAAAACACCCACATACATGATACATCGCATTCAAACAGACATGGAACTATTTCAATGCTTTTTTCTTTTATTTCTATACTTTTGTTCGAAAGCAGATGAATTTGTGAAGCTTCTGTATTTAATCATTATAAATTTGCAGATTTCAACATATTGGCCCTCGATTTTCAAACTAGTTACAAAAAATGTCTAGTTATCTCTTAAAATTGCAAATACCCGCTTGCCATTATCTTTTACATCGTGCATTGCACTTCACGAACGGTTATTTGTAATATAAATACACGTCTGGTGGGAATGTTAGGTTACCTCAAGGAGTTGATCCTTTGAAAGATTACACGATTTATTTTCTTTTCATGCGTTTGTTTATTCTAAAACAAATTTGAATCTTTGGTGGTTCAGCTAAATCCTAGGATTAATTTTCGAAGTAAATATCTTTTGTGCATCAAGGAGTTGTTTATAATTTGAAAGTTACTGGTATTTGATCGAGATCCCTTGGGCCACTAGTAATCCTGAAATAAGTTAGATTCTTATTCAAACCTATCACAGGCCAAAGGCTACAGAAGTAATGCAGCACCCTCTGTTTTGGGACCCGGAAAAACGTCTGTCTTTCCTTCGAGATGCCAGTGATAGAGTTGAGCTCGAGGACCGGGAAAATGGGTCCCAGCTATTAGTGGATCTGGAAAACGCTGGAAAAGCTGCTTTGGGGGGAAAATGGGATGAAAAAATGGAGAATGCCTTTCTTAACGATATCGGTCGTTATAGACGCTATAAGTTTGATAGTGTACGTGACTTGTTACGTGTCATACGCAACAAATTGAATCATTTCAGGGAACTTTCAAAGGAAATACAAGCACTATTGGGCCCTGTTCCAGATGGTTTCGACTCGTATTTCACGTCCAGGTTTCCTAAACTTCTGATAGAGGTATATGGGGTGTTTTTTAGATATTGTTCCAACGAAGAAGTATTTCACAAGTACTTTAGAAGTAATAGGTTTTAACCTTTCAATCCTGTTTAGCACAAATGTTGTATCTCACTTTGCACACTAATTTACTGGGTAGTTGTAAATATGTTTGTGACTTGCGGATTTTTCAATTTGGATGTTTATACCGGGGATTTGACTAATATTTAATGGCAAACATTATCATTATGTATATAAATGCCTTCTGATTATGATTGTCTTTTTTTTTTTTTAATTGTTGTTATAAATTCTGATATATAATGTCAATCGAAGAACAGAAAAATGCACAAAAGTCAGGTCTGAGTGTTTGTTTCCATGTGTTGAGCTTTGACCCGTTTGTTTATTAGGGGGTTGTTAATAGCGGATTAGACCTCATTTAGAGGTTTAACCAGTCAAAACTGCTAATTATTTTGTTGGTAACAAACTTCTTTGATTAGTTTTTCGGACTAGAAATGGTGATTTTGAAAAAGCTCAAAAGAGTAGAGTATTGTGAAGAGATTAAAAAAAACACAATACAACATAACAGCGACAAATTTTCACTGTTTATCAAAATTCAAAATGCTTATTTGACAAATCCCTTACAAAATTCAATTGTTAAATCAACTAATACAATAAAAAAATTGTAGTTCCGAGGTTTACTTTTCCTTTCAGCGAGCCATTGTGAGGCAGTCCCATACAAATACACTCGCATCTTGTTGCAAAAATGCTATAAATTCATCATAAAATGTGAATAAAATATCATACTTTTAATATTTTATAAAGTACAAGTCTTAATAAGCAACAGAAGTTTGATTGTATGAACTTGTCCACCAGCAACCTATTAAGCTACACAAATTACTCTGTGAGATGATTCCTGAAAACCAACCAACAAATTACTCTAAACCTCTTACTAAGTACAATTTTCTCTCATTCAAGATTCTGAACAACAATTTCCTCTCTATCATACACTATGCTTCTCATGGGATAACAACAACAACACTTATCACATTGTTATACTTGTCAACCTTATTCATGAACCCAACACACTAAACCACACCAAAAGGCAAAAACCCTCCTTACATTGTATACTTTGTCAAATTTCAAGATTATAATGCTTCCTCTTGGAAGCCCTCTCCACGTCATCTTCTCCTCTCCCGTTTTCTGTCAACATCTTCTCAAGCTTCCTCCTCTTCCTCTCCCTCCTCGACAGATCCTCCTTCTCATCAATCAACGAGATCAACGTCTGTAGTCGTTTGGAGCGTGAGCTTCCGGAAGGCCCACTCGAAACGCGCTCTCCCGAGGCAGCCTCACGGAATTTCCGAACAATTTGCAGAAAGTATACGAAAAGGGCTACAACACAGGCCAAGCCACAAAGGAGGTAAAGGCCCCAAAAACTCTTGAGGTGAAGACGGTCAGACTCGAGCTCGGTGTTGTCCAAACTGCAAGAACTCATCGTGAGCCACTTGTCGTGAATTCTTTGGAGGTCACCGTTTTCTGATAGGGTTAGGATTGCGGTCGATAGGTCGATGGCTAGGGGAGAGTCTCGGGGGAATGCCTTTTGGTGAATGAAAGATATAGAGAGAATTGTCAATAGGGAGACTACAAATTTTTTTTGATGTCTTGTGTGAATGGGGACAAAGTAAGGAAAGATATCCTTGCAGTTTTGGACTAATTAAGGAAATAAAGTTACAATCAGCCGCTTGACATGTGTCTGTTTTACAAGTTGTGTTAGTGAAGAGGGGGTAATTGGGAAACTACAGACGCTCGAGGAATTATCTGCGCTTGAGGATGTAGTTTTGAAGTATATTTCTTAGTGTAGTGAGGATCATTTATAAACAACAATAGAAAGAAAGAAATAAAGAAAGATAAGGTTAAACTCCGTCGATGTTATTGGTAGTCTATGTTATTTGAAAGCTCCTTATTCTCTCCTAAAGCATAGGACACAAAATATAGTCTATGCATATCTCCAAAAACTGGCTCTAAGGTTTGGCTTTTTTTATTAATCACAGGTTCAGAGAAGATCAAATGAAACCCAGGTGGATTGTTTCTTAATTTTATGAGTGCTAACCGTATGAATGTAAGGACAGTTTAACTTTCTCAAAAATTTCTCAATGAAAGTGAAAATATAAGACCAAATCAAACTCTGTTTCTTTTGTGATTATGAAACGTATGGCTCTTTTAGCAATTACTCAGAACTATGCAATGTAAGGACAGATCAACTTTCTCAAGATTTTCTCAATGAAAGGGAAAATATAAGACAAAATCAAACTCTTTTTCTTTTGTGATAATGAAACTTATGGCTTTTTCGGCAACTACTCAGAACTAAGGGCTACTTTTGTAAGTACACCAACAAGATAATAATTCTATGCTTCATGTGAAATGGTACAAGTAAAATGCATGTAAGCATCAAAAGCTAGTTTTTATCAAAAAAGCATTTTCTTTTCAGATGCAGGAGAATTAAAAAAATAAAGATAAAAGTAAAATAAAGAAAGAAAAGGTTTACTCACAAAACCCCATCCGCTTTTCGTGAACTCCTGTCCAATAATCCTGAACTTGCACTGGCTTGCCAAGAAAAGCTCGACATACGGCCGTTCATCAACCACAGCTGCAACACCTCCTTTTTTCGGGCCCAACTGAAGGGCTTTAGCATACTCCTCGGGTGACCCAAGAGCTTTCAGTCTCGATTTTGGTATGCCGATACCCTCTGTCAGATAATGCTCGGCAAAGGAGCCCACTTGGAACCCAATAGGCTCATCTCCTTTCTTCAAGGACTCGATCCCTTTTATGGGCGAATAAAGTTGTTGTACAGTGAGAATGGAAGTCAAGCTTGCAGTGTAGCTCGAGTTGATAATGAGGACCACAAAAAGCCATATAATGAGCACAAGACGCCCAAGTGTGCTCACAGTAGTCTCTCCTGGAATTTCGAGACAGAGAAATCAACAACTTGAAATCCTTTTTTTTTTTTTAAATTGTACTGTAATGTAATTGGAGTTTGAAATATAGGTTGGCTTACTATGAGCGAAGAATAGAGTCGAGAGGCTGAACCTGGGAAAAGAAACAAATGAAACAATGTTAACGGTGGGGTTTTTTTGAGTAGTTAATCATCAATGAGTTAATAAAACCCACAAGTTTCTGACATGAGTTGATAATGGATACATGGAAAGTGACTTTTTTCGCACGACTAATGAGAATCGTTACTGTTCGACTCCAAAAGGAAAGGCTGCAGAGAAATTTACTTCCAGTAAAAGTTCCAGCATTTTCAGAAGGGACAAAAATTAAAGACAAAAAAATCCTACTATTTTTCTGCTTGACGATCTTAGAGCGAACAAGGAACAATTACACTTGATCAGATATATGTGATAGTGTTTATGAATGTATAATATAAGCTCCACACAGCTTAGAGTAATAGTGATGGTTCATTTGAAGCACAGATTATAAATAGGTGTACTTGTGAGTTGTGACGAAGGCAGCATATGACAAATTTTTAGAGGAGGAGATTTCGAGAATGGTAATATAGAAAAGAAACTTTGGGTGATTTCTGATATCTAATATAATGCATGCTGCTTTAATATCATACAATATTCGTTAATGCACATGTTTTACTATTTCAATGAATTTTGTCACTATCTCGACAAAAAACCGTCTCGTATTAATTTCATCTTTGGGTATCATAACCGGATATAAACTAGGAATTCCCATAAACTTGATATATGGAAAGAATTTATAAATGATTATGTATCTGTAGACTATAGTTAACCAAAACGGTCGTGTCTGGATTTAGTGCATAAATTCAGCTAAAAAAAAAAAAAATTAAGAAACACTGAAGAAGTAATCTGAATCAAAACCACCAGTTACCACCATAAATTTCTTCATATTTGAAACTCACCATAGAATAGTAATCAGCTGCTGTTTTGGTGACCCACGAAACTCATCATTAATCCGATGCTCCAAAATCCAGACAACAATACCAATAAAAACAAAAAAGGCAGCAGTGACTCCCCACATCTGACGAGAAAACGGCCTTAGAAAAGCCCAAGCACCCGTATTCAACTTCCTGAATGGTGCAACCACCACAAGTCCAGAAGCAGCAAATGGCTGCGTAAAATCCACGATTCTCGTTCGATTTGTGACAATCGCAATATCCCCAACCACACCATCAAAGTACTGTCACAATCATCAATCAGATATGATTAAATTAAGCCAAAATTTACTCTGAACAGTAAACAACAGCACTGCAACTTTATCCATCAATTTAAACAAAATAAACGCAGTTTTAAAGAGAATTACATATTCAAAGTTGGCATTTTGTGTGTGTCTTGTAATATTCACCAACTCTGGATATCTTTTGTGACTCGCCCAAAATCTCCAGGGAAAAAAAATGTAACTATCCCATAAACATATATACAAGAAGTCAACTAAAAAAAGCTATCACTTAGAAAAAAAAAAAAAAAAAAAATCCAGTCATGTTTGAAATCAGAAAGGACGTATCTCCAATTTATAATGTTCAATGAAATATACTCGTTTAGTAAAATATCACGAATGATCTTACTCCTGTAGTGATCAGCTTCACCATCTCATTATAATTCGGATTGTCTTCCCCGTTCCCATACGGAACAAACTGATACGGAACAGCATAAGGCAGCAAATTCACAGCGGCCGTAAAAACATCAATACAAAACCCCTTCGAAAAATTACTGCCCGCCACCTGTGACACAAACTCCCGAAATCCCACCCTCCTCGGGACCCCAATCCTCAGCAGCCTCCCATTGTTCGGGAAAACCCATCCTCGCGGGGCCCGCACAGAATCCCCCGGCCAAACAACACTGTTCAGCTTCTGACTGTTAGCGGGCCGCGAATAAAGCATCTTATTATCAGGCGCCTTAACCGAGAGCCCGGAATAATTCGACCAGTAGCCAACCCTGTGCAATCCCGTCCCAATCACGTTCACTATCTCATAAGCCGGGAAAAGCAGCGAACGGTCGCCATCGAATCTGACTTGCCCAGTCAGCCCGACAAAATCGCTCCGCAGTATATTCTTCAGAAGAAGCGGGCCCCCGTCGAAAATCACCATGGCCTCGAGGTTGAGGCTGTCCCTATTTAAAGACTCGAGTCTCGAGTCTTTCGAAAACGAGACGGACCCGCCTTCGTCGAGAAACGAGTCGATCGCGCGCGCGAGCAGCCAGACAGTGTCGTAAGCATAAAGCCCGTACGTGTTGAGCCCGAACGAGTTCTCACTCAATTTACTCCATTTTTCGACAAAGGCCCGTTTTCTGTCCGATTCTGGCGTGTGCTGGCGCAAGACGAGAACACCTTGCATGTTATCGGTGAAAGTGTCCAAACGGAGGTAAGGAGCTGAGTCGAGAGCAGTCGAGAGCCAGTCGGTGGCAATCCAAACGTAGCCTTCGTCCATCATTCCCAAATAACGGGCCGCGGAGAAGACCGTTTGCCCGATTCCTGGATATGCGTGAAGCACGATAATACGGGACTCCATTAAGGCGACTTTTACGAGAATGTCCATTATGGTGCTCCTGCTGACGTCGCCGGGAGGTATTCCAGCTTTGTAGGAAACCCGACAGCGTTTGGCGGCGAGGGCGTCGTCCAGCGAGGAGAGGCCGTTGCGGCCGTAGTCGTCGTCAATGAAAATGACGATTACGTCCTTCCACCCGAAGTGGTCGATTATGTCGGAAATTGCGGTCATTTGGTGGAGGTCGCTTTGTGTGGTTCGGATGAAGTAAGGGAACTGGAGAGAGGATAAGGTGGGATCTGTGGCTGCGAACGAGAGGAAGGGAGTCTGGAGCTCGTTCGCGACGTGGAGTATCGTGTGGGCCACCACGGAGGATTGCGGCCCGATCACGGCTACAACGTCCGTCTCCATGTATTGTAAAGCTGCAAAAATGGGTAATTTTTATTTCACTTTCGTTTCATTAAGTGTCACCAAAATTAGTAAGTCAATGAGTTACCTTCAACCAGGCCAAGAAAACCACTGCAGTTGGTATTTCTGATGTCCACGTGAAGTTTTGTGCCTTTGAGGATGGTGGAGTTGGAGTTGACATCTTTCACAGCTTCTTCAATGGCAATCTTGGCAACTCTGCCGATTGTGGAATCAAGTGTGATAATGGCTCCAACATTCACAATTTTTGGTCTTTTGGAAAAAGAAGCGTTTGCACTTAACTCGTTCGAGGAAATTCCCAAATGAAGTAACCCCAGAAAAAGAATCCAGAACAAGCCCATCTTAGATATAATTAATTACACATGGACGGTAAAATCTGCACACCAAAAGGAAAGGTAATCCAAATCGTAAACACCACCCCCTTAGAGTTAGAAATTATTACTCATCGTTAAGAGATATTCCATTTAAGAGTTGTGAGAAAAGGACCGCATAATAACTTTAGCTTTAAAACAATGCTTTTCGTGATGTCCTAAGTCATTCATATTACTGATCCACACAAGAGAAGGAACAAAATTCCAGACAGCTAAACAAGAATCAAGTTGAAGGGCCATAAAAAATTAAAAATAGGTACGGATACAACACACAAATAGCGCAAAGAATCAGATTATATGTATAGAATCGAACTTTAAACTCCTCCAAGAATGGAACTTTAGCAACATAATATGCTTGAAACAGAGCACCCATGAGCACATGAATTGTTGGATACAAAGAAGAAATTAATAAACTAAAAAAGAAAGAGAAGGTGAAAGAAGAAAACCAGGGAGAACGAGCGACAGATAGAAGAACACATAAAATAATTACACACACAAATGACAAAACACATAAAACATGTGGATGAGGTTTAAACTGTTTATTCACTTGAAAGAAGTCACCTAAGCCAACAAAAGAGCCCATTAGGCTCCAATTTCATCATATGCAATGCATGATGTGCGCAATCAACAATAATGCTCTGCTGCTGTAGGACTCAACGCACGCAGCGAATAGGATATGAATATTATTATGGTCATTAAATTAATGGTCATTAAATTATGATAGACTATTTGAGTGGGAATGAGAAGATGACACAAATCAAAAGCAATTATTAATTTGAAGTGCGTATGGAGTCGGAGGGTCTTGTCCACCCATTGCTGAACCATGAGTCATAGTTAGACGACGATGACAGTCATTATGATTCGACTACCACGGTCCTTATTTGTGCTGATAATATGATATTAGGCGGATCGATGACTGAAGAGAGCAGGGCCGGCCCTGACTAATGTCAAAGTGGGCATTGGCCATGGACCCCCAAATATTTGGGGCCCTAAATTTATATCTACATTATATATATGTGTATGGATTTTTGTTAGTGTATTTTTCTACCAATTAAAAAACTTACAAAAAAATTAGCTTTTATTGGCCCAAGCCCAAACACATATAAGAAAATAATCATAAGCAATAAAAAAAAATCAAAGTCAATTTTTCTTTTGGAATTGGAAGCAACGGGAAAGACAAGTGGAGAGAATATCAAAATAATTTTTCCATCAATATTCCTCATCCAACATTTCCACACAACTTCCCACGCTCAGATAAAGATGATAGGGAAAGAAAAAAAAAAAGTATAAAGGTGGTAGGCTAAGATGACGACAAGGATACTTGGGAAGGAAGAGTAATATAATTTCTGTCTCGTAAACACCATTGTGCACTATACTCCTCACCATCTTTATAACACCGTGCTTTGCTTTTCTTTTTTACTTACGTCTATTTCCAAGTTGTACTTTCTAACGGGTGGAAAATTTTTTGAATGTAGCGGATAAACAATTTGGAGCAACTATTTCGATGATTAAGCCTTTCTTTAGTCTTCAATTGATTCTTCTATTTATTCGCGAAAGTGAAACACCCAACTGAGAGACCTACTACAATTATTAGGGTTTTTTGGGTTTGAAGATCATTATCCAATGCATAAATCAGGTTATAATTCTCGATTATATTTTATAATTCTGGTGTTTTATTTTCATTGTTTGATTTTCAGGCTCTTTTTTTATGTGTTTGTCTATTATTATTTTTCACTGTAATTAAATGTATGTGTTGAAGAAAGGGCCCCTTACCCAATTTTCTCCATGGGTCCCAAAAATGTCAGGGCCGGCCCTGGAAGAGAGGTACAAAATGAGTTATA